ATTAAAACAATAGATAATTACAATTATCTAATGAATTAAAATCGTACCAAGAAAGGAGTGTTGTAAAGTTATTTTATTTATGCAATGTACAAACAAAGCAATTTATTATTTATCTTTAGTTACACCTTAGCTAATGAATATGCATCACATATATTTTATTATATGTATTAATTACTAGCTGAATCATATAAATAAGTTCCAATACCTACATATAAGGTGCTATAAAACTATTGGCTAAGGCTTTAATTGGAGGTCGTAATGGGTTCATAGTGTGTGAGAGCCATGCTTCGGCACGAATGGGTCGGCTCGACCGGAGTGATACCACGGTCTCACAGAAAACCGGCGTGAAATAACCACAGCGTTGTGTTTCGCCCTGTGAGTGAGGTTACCGGAGGCCCAATTCTTCCCCTCCCCCAATCCCTCCTAAATCCCTAAATCTCCAAATCCCTAATCCCTAAAAGGTCGGCAACGCACTCGTAACTCCTCCGTTGCGAGTGTCCATGGGCGGCGCTGATTGCTTACCATCAGGTAATCAGTCTGCTCGTTTGCCGACCTACTAAATAAAAAAAAAAATAGATAACAATCGCGAAGAAAATTTTGTGCCCCGGAACATTATATCATCATCATCATCAGCCTATAAGTGCCCACTGCTGAGCAAAGGCCTCTTCTCATACGGATAAGGTTAGAGCATTAATCACCACGTTTGCTCAATGCGGGTTGGCGATTTCAAATTTATAATTAGAAATTATAAGTCCAGGTTTCCTCACGATGTTTACCTTCACCGTATGTCAGTGGTGTCTAAATAATCATAGAAAGTACATAAAACTCGGGAAAAGTCACATTGGTACTTGCCATTACTTGCTTTACTTGGAACATTATATATCATCCCTTAATCTCCAAAACCCTAATCCCTAAAAAGTCGGCAATTCACTCGTAACTCCTTCGTTGCGGGTGTCCATTTGCGGCGCTGATTGCTTACCATCAGGTAAACCGTCTGCTCGTTTGCCGATCTATTACATAAAAAAAATATATATTTGACAAATTAAGGGCTGATTTTTCATTGGTTAGATAAAAGTTACCTGCGGAATAATTATGACGCTGTCGCGTCAGAATGTTTGTATAAGACAGTGACAGCAACAATTTTATTCCTCAGATAACATTTATCTGACTATTGAAAAATAACCATATAGACACAAAATTGCCAATGCGGTGCTGGTCTTACGCCCAGGGATAGGCGAGTGTCAGAATCTTACTGACTAAAACCCCCTGTTCCTTCTCTTGCTCTGGGCCGAGGCTGCGGTGACTCATTGCGCTTAACCCTCAACCCTGGCTGAACATCAGTCCTATAGGGCCCCGTCTGTGGTGGTCTATTGGCTCTTTGAGGCGCGCGCGGAACGCTACGCGCCGTACGTTCGGGTCTGGTTCTGGTCGGGCGGCGAGCTACCCTTACTCGCCGTCCGCAGACCCGCGCTTACGGTGGCCGGAGATCACTCACTCTAAGCTGTGCTGTGGTACGTTTATACGCTTTATCCCGTAGAAGGTAAAAAGTCAGATTTTATGCCATGCTCTTCATTGAATGAATCTATAAATAGCAAGTTATTAAAATGGTAGTTCAAACATTAATTTATCAACGTACAAACGTACAAATTTCCAAATTAATTATTCATCTTTATTATATAGATACTTAACACAATTAATAATAAATCTAAAGGCGATCTAAAGATGAATATATAACTTAGAATCTTTTCCACATGTAAATATATGTTTAATTACTTTTTAAAAACTTAAATATGCAGTTAGGATGTCGCTAGTGTCTTCAAAAGGAATTTATATTTGTTACAATATTAGTTCTACAGTGTAAGATTAAATTTTCAGTCAAAATAACTAATATTTAACGGAAAAAAATCTTAAGGACAATATAATATTTAGACAGTCTGGAGCTGACCAGTCTCAATTGACGGCGCCCGTTCACGAACATGACACGTACACCAGCATCGCCCAACTCAACCATATTATAGGGAATCGAGCGATCCAGTGCCCCCTGCCACCGCCAATGAGACCTTTGAGTGAGCATGACAACTCCAAGCTGACACAAATACCTAAAAAATCCAAACCAATATTATAAATGCGAAAGTAACTGTCTGTCTGTCTTTTCTTCACGCCTAAACTTCTTCTGACTACCGATTTCTGTGAAATTTGGTACAGACATAGTTTGGAACTCGAGAAAGGACATTGGATAGTTTTTATACCAAAAATCTGCAGGAAGTCACTATTCCACGCGAACGGAGTCATGGGCAAAAGTTAGTAATAAATATAATTTTAGTTCCAATTTAATCCACCCGCAAAATATAACTTTGTATTACGAAGTGGATTTGTGAATATCCAGTTGTATAAACAATATCCATTATACCTATATAACGTTCAATTGAAATGAAATACACTAATTAAATTATTGTTTTAAAATGATTAATTGATTAAATTTATTGCCGATAATAATTCTTATTAATACAGCTACCGTATTGTTTGAAAAGTTTAATTTATTTGTTTTCTTTTTGCGTACTTTTGTAATAATGAAATTGTAATAGGATTATGTTTGAACACGCATTACGTCAATGCCGTTTATAGCTTCACCTCTAGATGGCGCTGGCTTAAATTTTGCTCAAGGATAGTTTTTGTTTTTGACTAGCTTCAGCTCTAGGCTTCGTCCATGTTACCCGGATAGAAACTAGCCTATGTTTATTTAGTTAGTTTAATAATTTGAACGCGCTTTTCTCTGAAACTATTGGATTAATTGAAACATTTTTTTTTGTGTGTTTTTTTTGTATGTTGTCGATTTTATAAGGAAGACTTTTACGATAACCGTTGTTGTAGACAAATTGTGGTAGGCCAAGCTTCGGCTCGACCGGAGTGATATCACGGCCTCACAAAAAACTCACGTGAAACAACCACAGCGTTGTGTTTCGCCGTGTGAGTGAGGTTACCGGAGGGCCAATCCTTCCCCTACCTCGATCGCTCCCAATCCCTAAATCTTCAAAACCCTAATTAAAAGATCGGCAACGCACTCGTACCTCCTCCGTTGCGAGTGTACATGGGCGGCGCTGATTGCTTACCATCAGGTAATCCGTCTGATCGTTTGCCGACCTATTACATAAAAAAAAATTGGGATAGGTCGGTAAGCAAGCAGACGGATCACCTGATGGTAGGCTCTCGGCGCCATCCATGGACACCTGCTAAACCAGAGGAGTTGCTAGTGCATTCCCAATATGGCATTAAGGGATTAGGGATAGGGAAAATCGCCCTTAAACTTACCTCAATCATGAGGCGAAACACAGCGCTTGTGTTGTTTTACGCCGATTTTTTGTGAGGCGGTGGTATCACTCCGGTTGAGCTGACCCATTCGTGCCGAAGCATGGCTCTCTTACTACACACGTTTAAAGTGAATAGTACAAACATATATATATATACATAAAAGTGCTTCTGTTTTATGATTTTGACAGCCAGTAACTCAGTCATGTCTGGGTAATCGTTACGGTTGTCAAGTCGCGAAAATTGTGATGCACAGATGGAAGGAAGTTACTCATTTTGGTGTTTATGTTGCAAATTAACGAATCTTTATGTAGGTTTTGCGATGCGTATGCCAACTTAATAATTCGATAAAATATTATCTATATCAGACAATACGGATAGAAAAGTAAATTATATTTAAATCGAATAAAAACTCTTTTCACATGACTGTCCAAAAAAAGGAGTTTTATGGTTTTATGGTCCATGTATGTAATTTTTCTTTATTCCACTATTACTTTAAAACGCCTGGGCAGAATTAGAAATAGGTATAGCACATTTTTGGAATCCCTAAAACATGTGTTGTGACACAGGCCAGGTTGTGTCTTAAAAAAATCAATGGGGTGGCTATGGTATGTTAAAAATCACACCGTTTCTTTTCTTCCTGCGTTCTGTGATTATATTAATGGCTTTAAAAAAGGTTTTTTCATAAAACTAATTATTTTGGTGTGGAGACACGCTAAAGTAATATAGTAGGTGAATAATGATTATGAGACACCATGTAACTCGAAACTAGCGGAGATTTTCTCTAATAGTTTACGCGTTTACATACCTAACCTTAGGCTTTTTATTTTAAGATCGCAAGAATGGGTCTGGTCGACCGTAGTGATGACCACAGCCTCACAGAAAACCGGCGTAAAACAACCACAGCGTTGTGTTTCGCCGTGAAATTTAGCTAGGAGGCCTTCCGTCCTCCCCAGTCTAAACCAATCCCTAAATCACAGAAACCCTATTCTCCAAACGGTCGAAAACGTACTCGTAACTCTTCTGTTGTTGCAGGCGTCCATGGGCGGCTCTGATTGCTTTCCATCAGGTAATCCGTCTGCTCGTTTGCCGACGTATCACAAAAAGTATAATTATATACTACATAGTGCCTAACCAAACATTGTAAAACACGGCCCTATGTGTTAATTCGATTCCCGTTTCAATACCTAGTTGATAAATGTATTACTTTGAATGGAATGTAATCATAGAAATACCGGCTCCTTGTCCAAAGTAAACATTGTTTCAATTAGCATAAAGTATATTATAAATTAGCATCTATTATAAAATGGATGACAAAATATTTTACCTTCATTGTTATCTGTTGTTTGTCACATAGGTACCTAATTACAATATTTTATTTGTAACTAGCGATCCACCCAGACTTCGCACGGATTTTTTTTTGTAAGGGGAAAATCATCAAATAACTTCTCCCGCCCAGGGCCGGGCGGGAGGGAGTGTCAGACTCTTACTGACTAAAAACACCCCTGTTCCTTCTCCTGCTCTGGGCCGAGGTCGCGGTGCCTCATCCCCGCAACCCCGGCTGAACATCAGCACTATAGGGCCCCGTCTGTGGTGGTCTATTGGCTCTTTGAGGTGCGCGCGGAACGCTACGCGCTGTACGCTCGGGTCTAGATCTGGTCGGGCGGCGAGCTACCCTTACTCGCCGTCCGCAGACCCGCGCTTACGGTGGCCGGAGATCGTCCCTTGATCCCCGACGCCCATAGTGTCGTGAAGGAGGAGACGGCGTCCAAGTTCCTCTCGCTCGGCACCATGGCTTCGACCAAGGCCGGGTGCCAGAGGTCGCCGCCGCCGATCACTTCCCTGAGGAAGACTTCGCACGGGTGTAAAGCTGATACTAAATTTCTTCACTATTTAATAGACGTTATTATGCATACTAGTATAAATCTCTTTATTTATTTATTGGTTCTTTACAGCTTACAAAATTAAATTACCTATTACAACAAAAACAGGTATTTACGCTAATTATGAGGAACACTTGAAAATGTAGTTTTAAATTATAAAAGTGTTGCTACATTTATAAAGAAAGCAGCTGTCTATGTATGTCAGTCGATGATTTTACTGTATAAATTATAGGTACACAATGATATGAATATATTTTTTATTTTATTTTTTTGTGCAATAGGTCGGCAAACGAGCAGACGGATTGCCTGATGGTAAGCAATCAGCGCCGCCCATGGACACGCGCAACGGAGGAGTTACGAGTGCGTTGCCGACCTTTTAGGAATTAGGGATAGAGATTTAGGGATTTAGGAGGGATTGGGGGAGGGGAAGGATTGGGCCTCCGGTAACCTCACTCACACGGCGAAACACAACGCTGTGGTTGTTTCACTGTTTCTGTGAGGCCGTGGTATCACTCCGGTCGAGCCGACCCATTCGTGCCGAAGCATGGCTCTCCCACACTTAGATATTTTTGCAAATAGGCCATAAACACGTCAATTTATATGTGAAGAACTAGATGAAGTGGATGAGGTTGTGTAATTGTGTTTCTGAGGAGTGTTATCATGAATTAAATATTTGGTCCCGATGAGCGACTAAAAGACTGTACAACTTTAATCTTAAATACATTGCGACTTGAATTAAAGGGATCCAAGTTCGAGAAACTGTTATTGTAGATATCAAGGACGCGAATAAATGGCGAAATTTTAACACTTATTGCATTTTGCAGAAGCAGAAGGGTTAGCCAAAAGCGGAAATCTTCGTCTTCAATCACTATCTTTTAAAATAGCCGCATCAAAATCGGTTGCGTAGTTTTAAAGATTTAAGCGTACATAGGGATATAGGGTCAGACAAAGCATCTTTGTTTTATACTATAGTGTGATACCTTATGATATTTCCAACGTATAGTATGAAATTTGACATTAAGTGTGAGAGTATTGCTTCGGCACGAATGGACCGGCTCGACCGGAGTGATACCACGGCCTCACAAAAAATGGGTGTCAAACAGCAGTTGTATTTCGCCGTGTTTGTAAGGTTACAGGGGGCCCATTCTCTCCCCCATATCCGCAACCCTTATCCCCAAAAGACCGGCAACGCACTTGTAAGTCCTTTGGTGTTGCGGGTGTCTATAGGCGGCGCCGATTGCTTAACATCAGGTGATCGGTCAGCTCGTTTGCCGCCTTATCCTACAAAAAAAAAAAAAAACATAAGTCATAATGTTATAAAAATACACACAAACACTGACCCATCGCCACAAAATGTCAAATTTAGTTCGTCACACGCTCGCTAGATGGCGTTATCGACCGGGAGCGGCGCGAGCGCATCATATCGCGTCGCGTAGAAAATGATTAAGATAATGATCTTGATATGTGTTATCTTGCAATTAATGTGGAGTTGTTTATTGCATTAGATTAAGTGTTACATATTAGCTGAGTTAAGAAAAGTTCAAAGTATTACACTTAATTTTGTTACCTATTAATTATTTTCAGTATCTAGGTATTCTTAATACCTATACCTAGAGCTCATAGGAACACGCAAATGTAATAGTTTGTAAAAATATGTAATATGAATAAAAAACTTGGATCTTGGATACTTGACAAGGTACACAGTCGGGCAGCTCACTGCACCAGAGTTACATTGTCAATGGTCGACTCTCTCTCGGCCACTTTGATAGACATTGACAGTTCTAGTGTGACAATGATTATTATGACTAATTAGAGATGATAAAACAGAATATATATGGATGTTTCTTTTGTTAGGTAGTCGTCTAACTCTTACCGACTACAAACACTCCTGTTCTTTCTCCTGTTTTAGGCCGAGGCCGCGGTACCTTATTGCGCTTACCCCGCAACCCCGGCCGAACATCAGCCCTATAGGGCCCCGTCTGTGGTGGTCTATAGGCTCTTTGAGCGCGGGGAACGCCACAAACCCATACTTACGGTAGCCGGAGATCGTCACTAAAACCCCGACGCCAACATTCTGTTTAAAAAACAGTATCCAGTATAACATTAGAATTACCTAATTAAAAATTGCCGGAGGAAAAAACGATTTTAAAATCGTAAATCTTGCTCTGTATAAACAAATCAACGAGATAGAGTTTACAGCTTATACTAAATGTCCGTGTGTTTGTTCGTTGCATAATTTATATATTATTGTTTCAGTTGCATTTCAGTGTAACTTTATAGGCGGGCTTGAGGCGATTATAATTATATGGCTATTTAGTTGACTATATCTACGTATGACTTTCAAATAGATCCATTCGAATCAGGTGTTTGGGTAATCATATATTTTTTCGAATTTGCTATGTAATAAAATCAGTTTTTTTTTTAATTCTGTTTAATAATTATTATTTCATTGTTTACATTGCTCAGGTTTACATTGCTCAATTTCTTATATTAGTTGTATTCATTTTAGTTCAGTAGGTACTTATTCTATAATGATTTTGAGAATGTTGGTTAACCTATCATTGGCAACTTTGTAAGTCCTAGTTATGTAAAAAATGAATTTTAAGCCTTATCTTCGGAGAAGCTGTTGGTAAATCCTTTAATAATAAGTAAGTAAAATATTATCATCATCAACAGCCTGATTCCGTCCACTGCTGGACAATATGCCTCTCTAATTGCACGCTTCTGAGCTCGATGTTCAGCAGCAGCTATGCAATTTGAGGTAAAAAAAGACATAATAACGTGCTATTTTGTTCCAAATATACGGAGAAACTTGTGCCTTTTGACGTTCCCGAAATAAAAATAGTTTTTTTTTTAAAACTGCCTTGACGTCCAGGCCCTAATTGTGGGTAAACTGCAATGATATCTCAGCCTCAGCTTGGAGTAGCGATGAAACAGGGTGGTTTTTAGTCAGTAAGAGCCTGGCACTCCATTTTCTTTAAAAAAAGGCCGAAGTTTTGCTCATCGTCATTATAAAGCATGAATAGATCACTTAGATTACACTGGCAATGTCTTCATTTTTGGCTCCATTTTTTCGTTTGTTTTAAGCGCCAGCGCTTTTGACGATCAATATAAAACTTTGCCGCAAAGAAAAAATCGAAGTGAAGGCCGTTCTAAAACAGTGACAGTTACTTAAAACAATTATAAATATTTGGAATTTGGTACCCTTCACGACCGTTTAGAAATAGGGTGCCGGGTTTAGGGTGCTAGCACCCCTCACATTGTTGTCACGCCAATTTAGTACAACACCTAATATTTGGCCATTAAAATACCTTGCTTGTCGTTGGGCATTCGAATCTTGAGATGGGTACAATTTGAGGTTATTTTTGTATCTGAGAAAATTTTGTAAAGGAGTTAGGTTGAATTGAGTTTGATTTAGTTGAAAATAAATTATGCGGATTTTTGTATGGAGTAAAGATTAAAAAAATATAAAGTACCTACATGATATATTCTTTATAATCATCATCAGTGTATTGCCCATTGCTGAGCAAAGGAATCATCTCACTTGAAAAAGGTTTGTAGAATAAGTCAAGAATTCCTTCACCGTATGTCAATGGTTTCTAAATAATCATAGAAAGTTCATATAACTCGGAAAAAGTCACATTCATTCATCAACAATGAGGGTGTTTCTACAGAAAAAGCGAATGACTTAACTCCGGGCCACTACGACGTATATTACTGTTATATACTGTTATAACATATTTATTTACTGATTTTAAGATATTATATGTAGCATAACGTCACGACAAACAATCTATACTTAATAAAGAGGTAAAATTTTGTAAGTTTGTATGTAGGGGGTAATCTTTGGAACCGCTGCTGGTCGGATTTCCAAAATTCTTTCACTGATAGAAAGAGCTACAATGTTCCTGAGTGCTATAGGCTATAAAACATCGTGCTACGATTAAATGGAGCTGAGCAGCGGGTGAAACCGCGCGAGATTAGCTAGTCCCTTATAAAAGATGTTCTATTTTGACAATTCGAAAAATCGATAGGTTCGGTTTTATGTAAAGACTGCACGGTTGACGCGGTGGCTGGGCAACTGGCTGCTGTACTACGGTTCACGGATTTATTTACTTAAATAAATTTATACACAAATTACATAGGTGGGCCAACAAGCATTCTTGATAGCCATCCTTAAGATGATGCAGCGAGAATACTGTCGAATTCGATTCCCGCACGAAAGAAGTCTTTGTGTGATTTACAAATTGTTGTTCCGGGTCTAGATTTGTTGCGTATTTTAATTTGTATGTTACGGTGTTATAATGTTACATAGCACCCACGGCACAGGAAAAATTCTTAAGTGTGTTTTAATTATTTTTGTCCATTACTCGATTAAGAATTTATGTGTAGGATTAAGGCAGTGGGAATTCATTTAATTCGAGGAATACTTCTCGAATTAAAAAAATATATTCGTTTATCTTGAACCATTCTACGGTAGGTCTGTGCAATTAGCAACCAAAATAATCAAAGCAATAATTTGATAGTACTTATAAAAATTTTCACACTTGAATTGCTTGATAATTAAAAGCTTTCAATTAGTGAATTTTGATTACTTTTCGTTTATTAATCGTATATGTTTTTGTTTCGGTACAGTTAAGGTAAGTATACTGAAAGTGGCCATTGTGTAGCTGCAAAAAATAACTAGTAGCCTTTTATGATGTAGGGTAAGCCCAATGAGGCACCACAGCTTCGGCCCAGAGCAGGAGAAGGAACGGGGTTTTTAGTCAGTAATACTCTGACACTACACCACCTTCCGTCCGACGCTGGGCGGGAGACGGCAGAAGTCATTGGATGACTTTCCCCTTACGTGAAAAACCCTTGCAGTGCCGCACGGACGAAAGCAACACATACTTGTAGATAATCCTTCTTCTACTTGTTATTATAGTCGGTATAACAAAGAAGTCTGTTTTAAACACAGAGAATTTTCTTGCGGACTGTACCTACCCGTCATAAAGTTAATGGCTCACAATTTAGTTGTAAAACCATTCATTTTTATATTCAATTACCATGTCATTAATTGATATAGTATTTCGCTAATTGAGACGTTTTATTGCTTTATTTAATTGATGAGATTTTGTACTAAATATGGTATGTATCTGCTGGTCGAGAAAGGAGATACAATATGGTTTCTTTCAATGCCTGTTGGCTGGACATCTACACTACATGAGCTGCTGTTTACATGTGAACATTAGCTCATGACGATACCTAAGTACGTGTGTCGCCTGGACAGTCACCGCTACCATCAGTTGACTGGACATCTACACTACATGAGCTGCTGTTTACATGTGAACATTAGCTCATGACGATACCTAAGTACGTGTGTCGCCTGGACAGTCACCGCTACCATCAGTTGACTGGACATCTACACTACATGAGCTGCTGTTTACATGTGAACATTAGCTCATGACGATACCTAAGTACGTGTGTCGCCTGGACAGTCACCGCTACCATCAGTTGACTGGACATCTACACTACATGAGCTGCTGTTTACATGTGAACATTAGCTCATGACGATACCTAAGTACGTGTGTCGCCTGGACAGTCACCGCTACCATCAGTTGACTGGACATCTACACTACATGAGCTGCTGTTTACATGTGAACATTAACTCATGACGATACCTAAGTACGTGTGTCGCCTGGACAGTCACCGCTACCATCAGTTGACTGGACATCTACACTACATGAGCTGCTGTTTACATGTGAACATTAGCTCATGACGATACCTAAGTACGTGTGTCGCCTGGACAGTCACCGCTACCATCAGTTGACTGGACATCCACACTACATGAGCTGCTGTTTACATGTGAACATTAGCTCATGACGATACCTAAGTACGTGTGTCGCCTGGACAGTCACCGCTACCATCAGTTGACTGGACATCTACACTTACACTACATGAGCTGCTGTTTACATGTGAACATTAGCTCATGACGTTACCTAAGTACGTGTGTCGCCTGGACAGTCACGCTACCATCAGTTGACTGGACATCTACACTACATGAGCTACTGTTTAAAATTTTGGCAATATTACACATTTTCATCATTATTTTACCTTTAGCCTAGACTACAAAGTGGCTTATTTATTTTTATCACTTATCCATTAAATTAAATGAACGAGGTGCGTATTTATTAGTCGCCATCTGCAAAATTATGAGCCAAGATATGAATGATGGATAAGCATCAACACTGTTGCCATAAAAATATACATACATACTATATTTGCTAAAACACACACAGAAACAGCTGAAGCATTAAAACTTTTAATAAAAAAAAATATATCATATTATTTACCGTAAGTAATAAAAACAACCTTTTTTGATAGTTATCAACCGGACGCATAGGCTGTATGTGGGTATTCCATATACGCGAGTTCTTAATGTTTCCACTAAGCATTAGCGCGGTGAACGGAACGCGGGCGCGGTGAGGAAAAAAAAGTTAACTGTCAAACTGACGTTTGCATTTTCCCCGCCAATTTAAACGTCAAAAGGTATGGTTGTGTATTGCACATTTCAGTCAATTATTACCTTTTTTGAGGTTGCTAGGTGCGAAAACACATTCTAAATGTATTTTTGGTGTGATAAAAATTGTTTTCGTATTTTAAATCGATTTTCCTTTTAATGGAGTCGAATTAATTTCATGTGTCACGATTATATTTTCCCGTCAGTTGTCGTTACATTTTTGATTTTAATCTTTGCGTATAAGGATCGTATTACTATTTTACCACCTTGAGAAATTGATCTTGGAATTTAATTAAGTATATTCGCTTCACCTATTTTATAGATATTTCTAATTTTCTGCAAGCTTAGGTATTAGGTACTTAAACTTTCACTGAGAATCGCTCTATCCTACTATTTTTTTAATGTAATAGGCCGCTATCTCTCCGTTTGATAAGCGATGATGCGACCTGCGATGCAGTCGCCTATCCATAAGCTACCTATTCACTCGGGCCCTGAACACATTTCTTGGAAAAAATGCATTGAATACCTGAATACAACACTGGCTCCAGCTGCTA